CAACCCCGGGGTTGAACTCAGCCCTGTTAACCGGGTTGAAATTTGCGATTACATGGACGATTTCAACCCCGGGGTTGAAACGCTATAGCTACTATACATTCTCGGCATCGATTCCCGGAAGTAAAAAAAAGCCTTTATTTTGTTTTCTTGTAATAAATAGTCACTACCACGCATGCTCGAATAACTCATGATAATTTCAGCCCTGGGTTGAAACGATTACATGACAAAATTTTCAACCCAGGGCTGAGTTCAACCCCAGGGTTGAAATTTCAACCCTGCTAGCTGAAGCAGGGTTGAAATTTCAACCCCGGGGTTGAACTCAGCCTTGGGTTGAAAATTTTGTCATGTAATCGCGCGTTTGATTTTGATAGAGTTTTGTATTACAGACAGGGCTGAAATTTCAACCCGGTAAACAGGGCCGAGTTCAACCCCGGGGTTGAAAATGCTCCATGTAATCGGCCCCTTAAGGGGTTGAACTTTATACATACAATTCAGTTGTTTAAAAATTATTTCATTTTTTCCCCAGTCACAGTGTCCAAACCCCACGACACTCATTGGTGATCCGAGCAAACGATTCTACTCGCCAATTCGAACGACGGACATCAAATGGAATTTCGAGAAATTCCTGATCGACCACACAGGGCAGCCTAGAAAGAGATACACACCAAATCTCAAGCCACTGGACATGAAGACAGATATACAAAATTTGGTCCAGGAATGTTTGAAGGGGAAACAACACCGAGTTATGTTCCAAGACGTCTTTGATGACGTTTAGATAAAATCGTGATTTTGATATATCGAAGATCTAGTTTTGACGAAGGCCGAATAGCGCTCTCAATGGGAATGGGAATTTTTCCAACCTTTGTAAAAATGCATAAAAAGCTGTAAAATTACAGTTATTGACCTCACAATAAATATATAAAACTCTCATTAGCTCATCGCCATTTTGTTTACGAAATGTAGCTGATGTCAGCATGCATGTTTTCCCGTAATTTCTACCCGTTTCCCCGCAGTAAACCATGTAGTCTAGACGCGTAACAGGCAAAACGGGTACGGGTGTTTTCTGTTTACTATTTGTAGGACGTTTAAGCAGTGAAATACTTCGACAGAGCTATTTTAATCTCTCTCGTCTTTGAAAAAATCACTGACCAATGCATTGCGCTATTCAGCCTTCGTACCGCTGGCCCTAGAAATTGAGGTTTGTTAAAGCTCGTGTCAATTTCAAAGCTATCGTCACAGCACTTCGTACTCATGAAGCGAGGTTTCGAAACGGTGCTTTTTCAATCAATCAATCAAACTTTATGTATGTGATCTTCCCAATAGACATTTCCCCTTATCACTTATGAGTGAAATTTTGATCTAGACAAGTCTGGGCAACAATTTCATCACAGCTTGAAAGAGCATCACAAAATTAGTAATATTCCGAAGTTTCGTTGCGAAATGTTGTAAAATGCGGATAATATAGCCTTGCGAAGTTTGCCGTTTTTCAGTCATTTTGCATTACAATCTATATAGTTTACCATTTAAAACACAAGCAGAAGTACCTTATCGGATATAAAACTCGAATGTCTTATATCTGATAAAGCACAGACGCGAATGTTTTAAATGGCTTAAAAAAACGACCCATCTTATGAGTTCTTTGGCGAAGTAATTTTAAAAATCAACGTTGTCTAATCCGAGAAGAAAAGCTATAAAGTTTATATAAATCAACATGATTTTATAGTATATATATCCAATATATTGACATATATACCACTGACTGTAATTAATAAATTAGATATTTTGTGGTTTAATTAATAGAATAGGATTTATTGAAAAACTGATAATTCTAAGTTGATGATGGCCTCACTGTAAACTGCCTGACAGCTGGTTTGGCCTGATGTAAAACTCGATCATTGTGAAGTCTTTAATGCATTCAGCTTTGTAATGTTGACGGTTAAATTATACTTGGAATTATATTAAAGTTGAAAAGATACGAATATTTAGTTTTATATAACTGCTGTTTTATCATTGCCTTTTAAAATTTTAACTGCCTCGTCCCCAGGCGCTAATACAAAAATTCGTGCGAGTCACTATATAAAAGGTTTACATGAAGTAATGCATCGCGACGAACAAGCGCAGGGGTTTACGGGCTTGAAGCAGCGACGCTCATATCCCATTCCCCTTTGTTTGCCTATAATGTGACGGTACTACTTCATGTAAACCTTTTATATAGTGACTCATATGTGAAATCGTTTTATAGCGCCTGGGGACGAGGCCAGAAATTTAAATGTCTTTTTCCGATCTTTCATTATTTCAGTTAATCGCGTGTTTAGACATTAAAATGAATTAACTATTTTGGAGGGCATTCCAAATGGTATTCATTCAACCTCGGCCCAGGGTCTTCTCTCTTAGGGAGCAAAGACCCTGGTAGACGCTGGTCACGTGATCTGCTAAAATCTATCAATAGTTAACTATCTTGTAGTTGACAATAGTTATCTATCTAATAGTTAGTTATCTATCAATAGTTATCTATAGTTAACTATCTTGGTTTTCTTTACGACAATCATACAAAATGCAAATTATTAATTAAACTATAAAAATAATCCAAATATCAAATGTTTATTGACCTGATCTTGGATTGCTAATTAAAAATCTGCTAGATTTTAGTAGATCACGTGACCAGCGTCTACCAGGGTCTTTGCTCCCCATGAGAAAAGACCCTGGGTACGAGTTTGGTATTCATTATCATAGACAGCGCAAATAATGTACAATTATTGGACGAGGTTGGGCAAAATATCGTGATCTTTTGTCAGTGGCGAGCTGTTATTTGCCGATGCCGAAGGCCGAGGCGAATAATTGATCTGTGAGCCACTGATACATCACGATATTTTGCGATAATTTCAGCGATATAATTTCACTGCATTTTGAGCGTTTTCTGAAACAGATTTTTGAACATACATGCAGCGTTACATTATACTGTAGATAGACTGAATCTTCAGTTAAGTACTTGTATGATATGTTTATGTAAATACCACAACTCGATCACCAGCTTGTTTAGCCTAGCCTTCCAACAATTCAAATCTATAGGGTCTGGGATATGCTATCCACTGGCAAATTTACAACACAATGTAATTTACCATTTTTAAAAAGATATTGAATCATTTGAAGATTGAAGACAATGGCATAAGATTCACAAAGCAAATTTCAGTTAGGGGCCATTCACAAAGGATGTCCGGCCAAATGATGGATTTTCAGACCCCCTCCCCCCCCCCCTTGTCCGAATTAGTGACCCCCTCCCACCGGACATCCGCCATGCCTCGCAAAAACTCGCACAACCTTGTATATGTCAAGAGTAAAAAACTTTTTTTACTTTTAGAACTTTTTTATAACTGTAAATGTGCACACAAAAACATATAAATTACTAATTAAAACAAAATCTAGTGTTAACCGCATAGTCAAAATGCCAATTTCACAATGGGAAGGACTGCTCAAAATAGAGCGAAAAAGAAATTTGTTTTTGAATTTTTTTAAATTTCGGACATCCGGATTGCTAAAAACCCCCCTCCCCCCCTATGTCCGAGTTTGTCCTGATTTTCCAAACCCCCCTCCCCCCCCTCGGCTCGGACATCCTTTGTGAATGGCCCCAAATACAAATTTAAGAAAGGTCAATAGATGTTAGTCCTTATAAAACGTTTTAAATTTTTAACGTGTTCGTTATACTTTCCATTTGTTCATCAGAAACGAAAAATATTTCTTCCGACTGTAAATTAATGGGATACGATCTTATAACATGCAAGTAAATGCCTGTCACCGGGTACTCACTGAAATTTTAATATCTTTTCTATCACACGCAGTCACGTGTGCTGACCATCCTTGTGAACATGATGGTGTTTGTATTGATGATGATGTGTCGTATTCGTGTTCCTGTGGAGCTGGATACTCTGGATCCAACTGCGAAATTATAGGTAATGATGTGAGTCTTTAATTTAAAAAAGATTGCTGAACTATATTTCAAACTAGAAATCCCACCTCTCGATGTAGACACAAAGGGTCACTACTTCATTAACTATTCCTCTCTCTTCTAGTCATTTTGGCGTTCAGACACTTCTTGCTGTATATCTCAAATTTAGGGCCTCCCTCTTCTAATAAACCACCATTGCAAAAGTGCTGAAAATAACTCCCCGATAGCCTCTATTTAGCCCCCATCTTTACGGAAACCATTTAATTTAATTACGGGAACCACTGAATATTTTGGTAAAATACAAAACAATAGATACTGAATTTATTTCGACGTTTCGACGAAACTATATAGTTATCATCAGGAAATGAATGATGAACATATTACATATGTACAAGTATATATAGTGAAGTAACAAGATACTATCTAGATGCTATCGTATCTTGTTACTTCAATATATACTTGTACATCTGTTATATCATCATCATTCATTTCCTGATGATGACTATATAGCTAAGTCGAAACGTCGAAATAAATTTTTCAAAATGCTTTCAATTTTCGGAGTATCTATTGTTTTGTATTTAATTTAATATTTTCTTAAAATAAATGTCTTTATTTTGATCGAAAACAATAATAAATTTATAAAATAACGTTTTGTCTCAAATTTTTGAGATGGCTAAGTGCCTTTGCCTGAGCATTCTTTTTTCATGTTGGAATTAATTATGCGAAATGTTAACCACCCTCTTGTCCCTAAAAGAGGCCGTGCATGTAGCAATCCGGCATTTCCAGACCCTACTGCAAAAATCTCAAGTGTAAAGACTTACCCAAATCGCTGTAGTATATAATTTCAGTATTGAAAAATGGCCTTTGAGCATTCTGATGAACTTTTTCAGTGCTGAAGTTATACTAAAACAATATTAGTCGCCTCACGCTCGGTGATTATAAGTAATCTAGGACCTGAATAGGAGTTTGTATGCGTTTCATTTAGCACAGGCAATCTCAACTATTTTAGGCGGTCAACATCACGGTGCCAAAACCTGAATCCGGGACGAAAGTCCTGAAAATGACCCAGCCCCGCTGAAACGGCAGTGCCGACATTGCTCTAACTTCCGAAAAACAGAAGCAACAGCCTTTCTGAAGTGCTGATAGTGTTTAGAAAGATTGCTTTTAGGAGTGGGTATTGCAAGGAAAAATTTGTTTAAGTATAATATTTTACAAGAAAATGACATGCAGTACCACCCGAGGTCAACTGCTATTTATGCATGAAATGACTAATATATACCTGGCAGAGATTATATTTTCTTATTTCCTAAAAAATGTTATCATGGGATGAAAACTATACTTAATTCAATATAATTATTGTAGATTTCATAAGGATTGTCATTGTTTTGTTTAATTTAAATATAATTGCTACATTTTATTTCACTTACCCCCTATCAAAACACGATTTCAGCCATATTTTGCCGTCTTGTTTGCTTTTTAGTTTTTATCGCGGAGTCTCGTAAATAACATCCTGTTGTTCTACTTTAACATAATGATAAATGGCTAAAGAAGATTTCAACAAAGTTTCGTCAAGTTTTGAAGCAATGGCAGTGTATTTTATCTTCGATATTGTATTCTTCGATATTTCGTCCAGTATGCCGTACTTGCCGTCATTGCAATGCCTCGCCGCTTCTCTGCCCGATGAATGCCACTTCTTTGTCTTCATATGTATTTAGCAAGTATTTAGATTACAGTATCCACGAGTGTTTCATTGTAGAAAAGTCCCAATCGAAAAATTGAAAATATTAGTAGCACTTGAAATGAAAAGCCTCCCATAACATTTTTAGGATTAGAATAGAAAACCCACGTTTAAAAATAATTTCGGAAAGTCGGAGCCATCTTCGTGAAAACTCCTCGTAGGCTACTTGACAGGGAGCCCGACTATTTTCACGAAACGTTTGTTCGCCACCACAAAAGCGCAAGTAAAAATATTATATTTATTGTATTTTATGATTTATGATAAAAACAATAAATATTTGCGCATTTTTATCATAAATCATAAAAATACAATAAATATAATATAAATTATTATTTACTTCATGCTTGCGTTGCTGTAAACAAACGTTTCGTGAAAATATTCGCCCCCCCCCCTCCCCCCTGTCAAGTAACCCACAAGGAGTCTTTGCGAGGATTAAGCGTGATTTTAAAATTATTTTTAAACTTGTGTTTTGGATTCTGATCGTAAATGTGTTACGAGAGGTTTTTCCTTTCAAGTGCAAGTAATGTTTGCAATTTTTCGATTTTGGACTGTACAATGAAGCACTCTTGAATACTGTAATCTAAATACATATGATGACGAAGAAGTGGCATTTATTTGGCAGAGAAGCGGTGAGGCATTGTAATGCGGCATATTAGACCAAATACCGGACACAATATCTAAGAGAAAATACACTGCACTGCTTCAATACTTGACGAAACTTAGCCATCTATCATTATGCAAAAGTACAACAATTGGATATACTTGCGAGACTCGGCGATAAAAAGCAAACAAGATGGCAAAATATGGCTGAAATTGTGTTTTCGTGGGGGTTAAGTAAAATAAAATGGATTATATTTAAACAAATTAAAACAATAACAATCCTTATGAAATCTACAATAATGAAATTTAGCATAGTTTTTCATCCCATAATAACATTTTTTAGGATATACGAAAAGCTGTAAAAAAGCTATAATATACGACTATTAATAAGGCTTGTTGTCCACCAGGGACGCCGCGAAGCGATCATCATTGGGGGGCAGGGGGGGGGGTGTCGTCATGTTTTGACCAAGATTTCCTAGGATTTTGACCAAGTCGTACAAATTTGTCCCGAAATGTTGTCGACGGGGGCGGGGGGAGGTCAAAAAAATTTCAGGACTAATATGAGCATGTCGCCCAAGATAAGCCTTGCTTATCGACGAAGATAAGCAAGGCTGCCAATTTTTTCACCGCAAACATAACAAAAGCTTTAAAATTGTTAAAATTGCCAACCATTTCATAACTTTGGTCAACTTCGATCATCTTCGATTAGTCATCGTATCCATTTTGTATTTATATTACAACGTGGGCTTGCTTGAAATCTGTTTATGGATCGTCCAAATATGTCTAGTTCCACGGCGTATCAAGTAAAAAGGTTTTTCTTTTTTAGTCAATATATACCCATTATAATATAAGTGTGATGTAACAGACAATTCGATTGGGTAATGCGCGTGCATTGTGACGCAATAATGCACTGTGATCTGTGACACTGCCTTGCTCTTTCTCTGTTTATTTTCCCCCTCTTCATCACCGCTTTTTAGCCAAAAATATAAACAAAACTATAGAGCTTTGAAAATACAAAATTTACCAGAGAGCAAGAAGGAATAGACCAAAGGAACGAAGCAATTTTCTATAGTTCTACACCAAAATTAACCGGCTTGGCAATCTTCGAATTTGTTGTTGTTTCGACAAGTTTTTGATAAAAGCGTGCAAAATAGCCGAGAAAAAACTTGAAAAAGATACAGGAATACCAAATACATACAAAAAGGCAACAATATGAATATATGTGAATATATGAATATATGTGAATTAGAAAGTATCTTCAATTCTTCTGATAATAACTGCTAGATATATTTTCGGCGAAAGACAAAAAATACAATAATTGCAAAAATTAAAACTATAAACATGACGAAACATGCGATTTACCGTCTTTCATGGCAAATCCAGCAGCCCAGATGCTGAAAAACTTTGGCAAATTAGTGGATCAAAGTTTTTTATTTCCACTATTTTAAACATTTTTCCGGCTTTATAGCATCAAAAGTTTGTATGTTGTTTTGGCAATTTTGCTCCTTCGCTCGCTTAAAAATTCAAGCGACAGTAAAAGCATGCGCGTGACGTCACTGAGTACGCACATGTTAGGGGAATTTCAACGTCGATCTTTTGAGTAAAATTGTTTACTATGTAATATCTTCTACTTATATTATAAAAGAAATAGAAAAACTCGTCACGTGCGTTTATTGTGCGATAATGCACTCGGGGAATGATGGGAGAATACTCGAGAAGCGTGTAAAACACTCGGCTACGGCTCGTGTATTACACGCTTCTCTCTTATTCTCCCAACATTCCCCGCTTGCATTATCACACCACAAACGCACGCGACTCGTTTTCTATTTCTTAAATAACGATTTATTTAACTAAATTAGCGGTGAGAAACACAGTTGGGCGAACTTTGTTTATGTGTGCAATGAAGACCAACGAGAGACAGGGGGGACTCTATTGCAGTGCAGATTGCGTCTTAATTGAACTCAAATATCTGGTATTATTTTTACTTTTATATAATTGCAAGAACTTCCCTGCGGCCAGGATATATTCACAGATTTAGATCTAAAAGGTAAGCAACAGCGCCAGTTTAAAAAAAGAGCAAATATGAGAAGTTCACTTCTAGATAAAAATAGGCTTTTATACACGAGCCAATGACCCAAATTCCGGGCGTACTCCAGGGGCGAAGGTTTAATCCCGCTCTCCTGTTTACACCCAGGTATGTGAGAACATATCATAGTGCAAAGATTTTCGCAATTAAGTCATGGACATTGAACAGTTTTCTTAGTTATGTGCATCTCGAGCACACATGCGAGAGTGTAGTGGCATCATTTAGTGGGTTCAGCTAAAGATTTGGTTTACTTAAATCACGTCACTCTCTTGCTCGGCCGTGAAACCCTGGGAACGAGGGAAAATGGTTGAGAACTCGAAAAGTATTTCATTACGTGCTCGCAAGATTATTATTGTTCGCAAAGAAACAATTGCTCCGTTATATGTGCAGTCTAACTTTAATTTCGCTACTGCATGCATGGTGTCTGCATATATTTATAATTTATGTACTATTTAAAACATTCGTATCCGATTTTTATCTGATATACAAACTCCAGCCGAAGGCGAGAGTTTGTATGCCAGATAAAGGTCGGATGCGAATGTTTTAACGTACTATAAAAACGACCCATCTGATGAGTTAATTAATTGGCGAAGTAATTTTAAAAATTAATGAACATTGTCTAACCCGAGAAAATAAAAGCTGAAGTTTCATATGTAAATCAGGACAAATCTTTATCCGATTTAAAAACATTGATTAAACATTCATTTCTTTTGTGTTTTCTTTATCAATTATTAATGAGTTTTTTAAGTATAGACAAATATGACGAAAGATATAACTGATTTATATTATCTTTACTCTTTAGATCAATGTGCTTCCAACAAATGCCCAAGTCAGCAAAAGTGTATGATGGATACAGATGGAAACGCCTTGTGCTTTTGTAAACCTGGATTATCTGGAGATGATTGTTCAGACCAAGGTAACTCAATGGACGATTTTCCCTCCCTGCCCATGCCTGATATTCTGACAGATTTGAATCGGCAGTATTTCTACATTTCACTTCACTGTTTTGTTTTTCTCAATTCCTAGGATATACACTTCTTCCATACCCCTATTTCTTTGATCCACTACAGTGCTAATAAAAGGACGCAGTACGCGCGTGAAATATGCCGTATTTTCACAACAATTATTTTGTGAAAAATTTATACCAGTCTTTATTGTTCATTCGAAATAGACGCTGCAGCCGGACAGCTGAGCGCTTTCAGCGGTGGTTGCGGTACGAAGAAGATATAATACGACTACATAAGTTGTTTTACTCAATTGCATGAGATTATTCAGTATCCTCATTTTGGAAAATACTTATTTTTTAAAAACACCCTGTAGTTACCAGGTGCGAGCAGGTTGTTTGCTTGCATGATGGGAAGTGTATCGATGAAAATGGAAAATTCCATTGTAATTGTGTAGCAGAATACAAGGGAGCAAATTGTGAAAACAGAGGTAATTAGCACTTTCTTTACTGATTTACTACGTATATATATATATATATATATATATATATATATATATATATAGAGTATATATATATAGATATATATAGATATATATATATATATATATATATATATATATATATATTTATATCTTAAAATTAATTATTGCTACTCAAGTTTCACGCCTTATTCAAGACGATCTTCTTCATTTTTATGTTTTATTTTTATTTCTTCTTCATTTTTTTTTTCTTCATTCTTATTCAAGACGATCTTCTTCATTTTTATGTTCTTCTTCTTCATCTTTATATATATATATATATATATATATATATATATATATATATATATATATATATATATATATATATATATAAAGATGCGTAGGGAGACCATCGTGATACACTGAGCAAGCATATCCAATTAAAGATCTGATGCAGGATTTGAATAATTGTACCGATTCCAAACAACCCACTTTGTCGTGCTTTAACTGGGTTAGGAAGTACAATCTTTTTGAAGATTTTTTTAACGAGTTCGCTAACATCATAATTCCATTTTAAGTTCTCCGATACATTCAGGCCCAGAATTTTGGCATGTGGGACAACTTCAGGGGGGGGGGGGTTATTTATCGTAACAGGTGGAAATTCTTTTTCCGATTTCGTAAAACTAATTCTCAATTCTTTACATTTGCGCTCATTCAACACGAACTTTTCGGCTTTGGACTTTCGTACGAACTCATCTACGCGGTTGATTCTATATATGACTGACTTCATCTTTTTTAACAGTTTCGGAGATGTTTGCGTCGCCTACATATTTCCATATCACATCGTTAGAGACATTTAAATCGTTGATCATGACTAAAAATAGGGATCGAACCCGACTCCGAAACACAATCTTGGCAGATTTTAACTCTTTGTTTGCGGTTCAACAAGAAATCTATAATTATCCAATTGACAACATTATGTGGAATTTCGTACGACACTATAGTTTCTGAATTAAAATATTATGATCGATCAGATCGAAGGCCTTTTTGAAATCGAATAATACAATCCTCACTGTTGCACAATTACTATCACTGTCACAGTTCCATTTATGTAACATGCTAATAAGAGCATAGGTGTAGCATGCTATAATAAAAACATGGCTATTTAATTATTCAAGGTATATTGAAACAAACCAAAAATACACTGGACGGGGATAGTTTATACATTAATAAAAACGTTTTCTAACATTTAAAATCTAAAAATAAACAGAAGTTAAATTAAAAATTACCGTTTAAGACCCGGAGGCGTGTGAAAATTTCTTGAAAAATTGTCGAATAACGAACTTAAGACACAAAAGTAAGAAAACTAACGAATAGTTGAGCATTTGCACACGATTAAATTGTGGAGTAAATCATTACCCTTATATAGTCAACGCAAAAATTATACATGCTACGCAAAAAACCTTTTGACAAGAATGTGGATCATATGAACCTACAAAAATATCTTTGCATGGTTCAGTTAAAGAACGTTTTTTACAATAAATTTATCGACAGTCACCTTTGGTTTATTTTCATGCATAATACTACTACTTGCACATGTAGACTATAATTATTTCTAGTTATTAGGTTGTCATGTTCATTATTCTTCTTGCATTTTCATAGAAAAGGCAAAACTTCGGAAAACTTGACACCACGTTCGAATACATATTTCAGTAATGTTGACGCATACGTTTTTCCGCCGTGTTGCGAGAAACAAACTTAAAATCCATTTCGTTTAAGGTGGTCCTAAGTTGAAAACAGTGTTAGTCGTGACGTAATTACCGGGAAAGTCCATTCTCATGACCATATATGCTACCTATATACCATTGTCATAAAATAAAAAGAGCACTATTAATATACGGACTAATTACGGTACAACTAAAGGCGGTTTTCCACTTTCCGAATCGAAATTTTCTTTTGTCTTACAAGCACTCAGATGGAACTAAACAGAAATCGTTTGAATTTGAACAATAGAAATTTCGGTTAGATCGAAAAATTTTGCGTAGTGGAAAACCGCTTTAAGTAAGTCAAAATTAATAAAACACAGGGCAAAAGACAAAAAGAACATCAAAACTGTTACTGAATTTTGTTCTTTTAGTCAGTGGTGAGATTTTGTATCCTCCACATAAGAAATACTTCTGCCCAGTTGTGCAAACGATCGGAGAGAGAGGTAAAACGTATAAGGTTATTTTTGTTTTCATAATGCGTAATGTATAAACCATAATTCTTGAATCAAAACTTGAAATGTGAATTCTTATGACCAGCTGTCACTATATACTTATATAGTTCTCACTTCTCGTAATTGAAAACCCGAAAGAAAGTTGGAAGAAATATATTTTAAAATTTTTGCTTTCCGAGCACTTTAGAATGTTCTTATAAATGTACATATTTAAATTTCCCTTCGATATAATTTCCATCTACGAGACCTTTCAACTATTATTGAATCGAGTGAGACGCCACTGAAAACCTCTTTACATGGCAATATAATATGTTCGATGCTGAAATAATATAAACGAATAATTATGTTTATGACATTCAGTATATATTTCATAATTTCCAGTCTTAAATCCGTCTGACCGTGTGGCTCAGTTGGTAGAGCGTCGATCTAGTAATTCGAAGGTCGCGGGTTACCCAGCCGCGGCAGACAACATCTTTCTCCTTGCGCTGGGTATGGAAATTATATAATACACACTCTAGAACATTTTCATCTTATTTTGGTAGAGGTATGATAATGGAAATAAAATACATTTCATCCATCTGTATAGAATTATGTAAATTGTACGTGTTTGTCTAGGTGGCTGTCGTAAGTGTTCTGCAAGTTTGGGTGAGTATATATTCATATTCCAAACTTTAACACAGTAACTAATACAAATTCATCAATTTTTAATAATCGCATAATCGTTTATACTAGAATAACAAAATCCAATTTAATAAGCTAATATATATATTAGTTACATCTGCCAACCATACGGATTAAATAGGCCAATCAATGTTAAATTAAATTTGTGCCATTGCTGTTTGGTAATTAATGTAACAACTGAAAAAAAACCCAAACGTTATTATATAGCCCCGGCCAAACGACGATGAGAGTTTTTGAGAGTTAAAGACGTTATGGGGGACATTTCAAGCTAAGATTTCTCTATAATTTAACAAAATAAAGGTTTGACGAGTCTTGTTTCAATTATCATGAATAGAAGAATATGATAATGCTGGAAAACATTAAACTATCAGCTCTCATGCACTCTAATAATTTGATCGTGGCATTACTCTAAAACTAACCGCAAACTCTTCTGTTATGTAGCACTATTAATTCGTCATGCATGAATAATGTGCGCAGCGCAATGAGCTTGACATATATAGCTTTTTCGAGTGTATTTTGTCATTGTCTTATTCTTCTACTCTTCACTTTCAGAAAATTGTCCGGGTTGCTGTGGCGAAAAAAGTGAGTAGAATATGGTCAGTTGGCCTTTTATTTTTTAAAGCGTCTCATCGACAAGTCCCAATTAAACAAGGGAGACATCGCGCTACAACTGGCTAACGATTTTGTAAGGTTACATCTGCAGTGTGGTACATCCAACAAGGACATAAATACGACCGTTCGATTCAGGGAAACAATATCTCCTTATTCCTAACGATAGCGTTAGTCAATGTCAACATTGTGAGAGGGGGAGGGGCTTTGAAAAAATAAAGAGAGACGAAAGAAGGGGGCTTTGAAAATATTTACCCGTTTGAAAAAAACATTAGTAGTAAGTTTTAAAAATGTATCACAAAACAACTTAACAACAAATAACAATGCTTATAGACCTTTAATATTCATAAATGGAAGCCAAATAAACAGTCTCCTATGTTCATGTAAATAGACAATTCCCATTATAGACTAATTTTAGAACTAGGCAAAGAGATGCAAATCAAGGCCGGATTTTGGTGAAAATAGTGGGGGAGGTGGAGAAAATGTTAGGGGAGGTGCAGCGGTAGACCGCTGTAGGTTAGGGCTTAAGTTAGGGCTTATTGTAGAACAGGCCAATAACAACGAGGTGAGGTATGCATGTAGTGTACATATGTACCAGTGTATTAATTAATGAAGTATGAATGTATGACTCCAATCTTGCCCTAATCATTACAATTGCTACAAAGTTTCTTTCAAAACATTGCATTAAAAGGGTATTTGACACAGAGATGAATGGCTATCGCTGTTTCAATTTTACAGAGAAAACTTTTTTACATCTCGAAGTGTAGATCCTAAGCAACCATCTCATTTTTGCTTTGTTCCATCATTGAAACTAATTCCCAAGGGGAAGTGCATGACCTTTCAGGAGAGGTGCAAAAATTCTCAGGGGAGGTGCAAAACGATCTCAGGGGAGGTGCGCACCTCTCCACACCTCCCATCAAAATCCGGCCTTGACGCACATAAATCACCACAACTAGAAAGAGCATACTAAAATAAGTAAATTATTGCAAAGTTTGGTTGCGCACTGTTGTAAAATACGGAAAATATAGCCTTGCAAAGTTTGCAAATTTTGTATACTTTTGTATTGCATGCGAAAATTGCAATACAAAAGTATACAAAATTTGCAAACTTTGGAAGGCTATATTTTTTACATTTTACAACATTTCGCAACCAAACTTTTCAAATATATACTTTTTTTGCTAAGATAAAAAATTAGTCTATAATGGGAATTGTCTATTGGTCCCCATTATCTATGGGGGGGAGGGAGGCTTTGAAATGTTTACTTGTCTTATGAGGGGGAAACGAAAAAATATTATAACTGTAGTCTCTCTTCAGTCTCCCCCTGTACAATAAATAATGAGCAGTCCCTAAATCTACACTATTTCAATGCCTTTATATTAAACCTCGGCCTAAACAGTTTCCCACTCAGGTCCTCGCTGGTTCATTGAATAAACAGGAGTGCCGTATTCCATGCGATATCAGGAGGAACAGCAATATATTTTGATAGAAAACATTGATTTGTCATCTAAGACCCTGTTTACACGGTACCGGATGAATAATTTGTGACCGGACGAAAATTTGTCCGTTTCAGCCGTGTAAACACACGAGAACCACGGAACCGGACGAATTTGAGACCCCCTAACAGGACGAATTCGCGTGTAAACAGGCAAAAAAGGACAAATTTTCGTCCGGTCCCAAATTCGTCCGATACCGTGTAAACGGGGTCTAAGACTAAGGGACACAACATATTTGCAAGCAGTCTTGTTTTGTTATAGGCAGGGATAAATTTCCCCCTATATGCCTCTCCGCCACGTGATGCCGCTTGTGATACCCTCCCCCCCTTTGTGACACTATGTGACTCCTGATCAAACACCCACTACCCTCACGAGCATCACATATTTTGTGAATGGCCCCTACCTTCACAGTGGTATTTGAGAACCACACCTTCCCTTAATACAAAAATATATTATGTTTTAAAACACATTTGTTCAGGTATTTCAATATTCCGTTGACGTTTAAGACCAATAAGAGCATATCAGAAATGCAAACTGCACATTTAGAAACTTGTATAAACCTTTCGCTTTTTATAAAGTACGGCAAAACAGCTTCGCAATCCGCGCAAATATAAACTTCACGTACTGTCTCTGATAGAATGAATAAATTCAAATAGCATTTCTAATGCTGACACAACGTACCTTATTGAAATCTTTAAAGTGATATTCTTACTACATGGCCAAGTTACCAAAGATTAAAGACACAAATAACAGGGAAATATTGTACTAAATACTCAGTAACAGGGGCGGATCCAGCCAAAAATCTGACCGTAGCATTTTCCAAGACCTCACATAGCTAGGGGGGTCCGGGGGCATGCCCCCCCGAGAAAATTTTTGAAATTTGAAGCCCGGAAATGCCATTTCCTGCGTTCTGAGCACTGCATGTGACCATTAAATTTGTCCTCATTGTATTCATTTCTCAAGCAAAAATAAGCCGAAATGATCTCAAAATGTAAACTATTGCTCGCGTATATTTTAACATACGATATCGGTATGATACTCGTATAATACGCATATCATTATCAATTGAATACCGAAATGCGCGTATCATCTACGAACGCGTGTATCATACGAATACGCATATCATATGAACGCGCGTATGATATGAATACGCGTATCTTGCGAATATATACGCATTACAAACAAATATTAGCGCGCTATAAAACACGATATATATACGCGCATATCATAATTCGCGTATTAATTCCAATACATGCAGATATACTGT